GTCCCTCTTGTAATTCTGCCACCTCAGGTTTCCTGTTCGCTGAGGCCAGATCTTCTTCTTCATGACGTGCCTCCATTACTAGGCAGGCCATTGTCGCTCCGACCGGTATCACTATGGGCACCTCTTCTTGTTGGGCCGCCGCTGCTGGGGTTGCTCTCGTCTCCGCGGAAGTCTTTCCAAGCCAGGCATTGAAGTCGGCGTCTGCTTTTTCTCGCCAGGCCCTCATCTCTTCTTGATGGGTTTTCATGTCGGCGTCTAATTTGGCCAGGAAATCTCTGTCTTTCCTCCTATTGGCCTCCATTCGCTCTCGGTCGGCATCTGCTTTTGCCAACATTTCGATTATTAGTTGAAGACCTTGCTTCTCCATTTTATAGCAGTCAAATAGTCGAAGCAGTTGTAAGTTTAATTCTTCAAGGCGTGTTTAAGCTCGTAAACAATTCTGACACCAATGTCACGTGTCTTGAGTTCGAAGCTCGTTGGTCACGTGTGTAAGTTCTAATCCCACTTCTGACACCAGTTTAACGCGTATCGGGCGTATATCGCGACAAATAACTTCACGATGTATTTGGTATAGCGAATTTTATTTCACATTCGCACTTACAGTCACCCAAATTACCGATTTACGATTACTGATATCTGCAGTATCACAATTAGTACACTCCAAATGCCAGAATACAACTGATTAGTTGCTGGCTAACTCGGAACTAACTCGGAGGTAGCTCGAGGACTCACTCGGCGGTAGCTCCAGGACTGACTGTGAATAGCCTTCGCTGCTCCTTATGTAGCCTTGATCGGACAATTGTCGTCTGGTGCCTTGTTGCTAGCCACGCTGTCCGGAGTTGTTGACTGCTGCCTAGCAACCGCGATATCCCTCGGTGACGTCACTGCTATTGCGCGTTGCATAGCTACCAGGATGCGCGGTGATTACTTGCCTATTACGCGAGCGCTACGTTACCGCTACGTGCAGCTGGGGAGGTAGGGGCCAACATGTCACAAGTATTCATTCATGTCGCTGTAGTTATTAAAGGATCAGATTTTATGTTCATGGCATTGTGATTATATTGTATGTATGTATTGATATTGACCAAACACATTGTAATAGTAGTTTCTGCCTGTATTGATATATCCTTCTGAAGATGGTCTCTAAGACCGAAATATGAAACATGCCAAGGATGAGAGATTAAAAATGGAAGAAAGAAAAAACATCTTGTCACACTGGATGGAGTTGACTAACCTTTTACAATATTGCTAGTGTGATGGACCAGCATGAACCAAAACAAAGATGATGCATTTAATAAAAACGTTTCAATATTATAATTATATTATTATGTTAGTGGTGTTCTTTTTGCTATATGAAGGTGACTGGTCAGCATATGGAGTTTGTGATATTGTACGTGCATCTTTTTGTGTGTGTGTGTGTGTGTGTTTGTGGAGATGCTATACCTAAAATTTTTAAACATGAAGGTTTTCTTAATTGGGATTTTTACATCTTTATAATTATGGATTAACGTTTTAGCTACGTATTTTACTTACATATTAAATATATTGTTGTGTACATAGGAAGCTATTACATATGGGTTTCTCAGCTTTACATGTTTTGATAAATATTTGGTAATAATTTTGCATCTAGTTTTCTCCTCTTGGAAAGGTAGACTTATTGTCTACAGTATCATGCAATCCTTGTATGTATGTGTTATGTGTGTGTCAGTGCNGCAGCCGCGGCGCGCACTTGATTGTACGCACTGTATCATTGGAATATAACATAAGTTATTAATCCTAAAATCTCTTAAAAAGTATGAAACTTCTGTTCAACTGATTTCACTGTACAAAGTAAAATAGCATGCCATTATCTGCTTAGTTTTCTGTTGGTTTCAATAACCAATGCACAGTATCCCCTAGGATTACAAAATTTAGCATGACAGTAAAGCAAAAATATTCTTACAAATTTTGAATTAATGTCATATATGTATTACAAATTACAAACATAATGTTGAAATGAAGTGTTTATGGTATGTTTGAAAGTTTTAAGTACAGGGAGTCTATACTAGTGCTCTTTATGCAGAGAAATAGACCACTGAATTCCATAATTATTATCTATAAAATTTCTGATAGTCTTTCTACACAAATGGTAGCCTTTGTAGGAAGGTGGTTGACAAAAGTCATTCATTTCAAGATCTTCTTGTTTAAACGTTCATAATGACATGAAATATCATATTCCAGCACAACGAACAAAGAGTAGAATGAAAACTCCATTCATTTACTTGATAACTGATGATGTATCTCTTCTCGGGTTTTCCCTTTTGTTTCTGGTACAAAAATCATGATAAATATGGTACCCAATAAACATATGACAAGGAATGTCCCATAAGTCGCCTCTGAACCCATGTCATTTATCATAATGGGAAAGAACTTTGTGACAAAGAATGCCAGTGCCCAATTAAGGCAAACGGCAAATGAACTGACCCAATTTTTAGCTTCATTGCTTAAAAGTTCTGGCATCATAAACCAAGGAAGAGGTCCAAATCCAATTGAACAAGCTACTATGTATAAATTTACAGCAATCACAGGAAGCCACCCCATGAATGGAATATCTATTCCTTGTTTAAGGAGATAGAAACGAATTACCATTGCCAGCAAACACACTGCCATTCCTGCACCAGAAATTATGAGTAGGACTCTTCTTCCAACACGGTCAACTATGAATGAAGGTATGAAAGTCGCCATAAGTTGAATTATACCAACAATAATTGTGCACAGGTGAGGATTCAAGGAACTGCCAGCTACTTTGAAGATTTCGACAGTATAGGCTAGTACAGCATTCATTCCACACAGCTGACGAAAAGCCATTAAACCAAATATAATATTCATGGCCTTCGCTGTTGCAGATGTAAAAGAAATGTTCTTGAAGGATTTGCTTATCATGGCAGGTATAGATATTTTATCATTTGATGCAGAAGTATTGACTTTGGATGCCTTTATAAAGCTCTGCATTTCTTTCAGTTCATCCTGAATATCAGCACTATATTGACTACCAGCACCTCGAAGCCAACACAAAGATTTTTCAGCCTCGTCAATCCGGCCTTTGGAAAGAAGATAGATGGGTGACTCAGGCATCCAAAAGAATGAGACAGCAAACAGAACTGGAAGTATGGTGGATGCAATGGACATCCAAAGGTATGGGAGAACGGCACCAAAAATATAGACGTACAGAATGCCTACATTGAACATAAGGTCTAGATAAACACCCAAAGCACCTCGGATTCTGACTTCAGATATTTCCTCGCTGTAGAGGGGCGAAGCTACTGTGATAATACCACAAGTGAAGCCCAGAATGAACCGAGCCGTGTAAAGAACCAGAATCTGAAACAGAACAATAGGACAATGTTGATAGTAAACTGAATGTTCAAACCTTGGAGATTACATCTCAATAGATTAAAATTATTTTGTGAAATCTAAGCTTCTCATGGCAGTCACTATGAAGATTATATCTTGTGGGACATCACACCATGTAATCTGGTTGATATTTACCAACGTTTTGACGGAACCTGCAGCCTTAATCTCCATGGCAGGTATTATTATTATTATTATTTTCGAGGGGGTGGGTTTCCCAATGCACTGCAACCAGCAGGTGATCTATTGTGTGTCCCACTTTAATTATTCTACTAGTCGCCATGCCCTTCCAGTACTGGTGCTCGCTATCAGCCCCGTTCTGCCAGCGAGGTTTGCCCTCTCTGGCAGTGGTCCCCGATACTTCCCCATCTACCAGAGGAATTGGAATTGTCTCCTAGAGACATGAGGATCTTTCACGTGCCGTAAATCTACGACATGGGACCCACGGCTTAAAGTCCCTCCCGGAGGACTTGTTCCCTGAATTTTTCCGCCCTTAAAAATTCCATGACCTCTGCTGGGTTTGAACCCACGTACCTTGAGTCATGAGGTGGGAACGTTACCCCTAGACTACGGAGGCCGCTTCCATGGCAGGTAAGTTATACTCTTAAGATGGAGGCACAGCTGATTCCTCTGACACATTGATAAATATCTACCAGATTACCTGGTGCCACACTCCTGATGACAGCAACCCAATGTTTCCAATATCAAAACGGTCCGCTGGCTGCATATGACATTGGACTGGAATGTGACTTGTACACGTAAATAAACGATCAGCAGAACCTTGCTATGGGGTCCACATAATGAACAGAACTACACAGGCCTAATACCAATAGAGGATGTTCAAGGATCATGAACCTCTGAGTTCATGTTCTTTTCCTTGATCAGTATTATAAAGATAATTTGTATACAAATTTGATGTCTTTGGCAGACACTTCAATTCATTTTTTGTCTATATGACATACACTACTCCGGAAAAGGTAAATTGAAATCTTATAGGTGACTATCATAATATATCACCTAGGAGCTTAAACGGGATGGCCATGTAGTTGAGATGGGGAGAGAAGGAATATAAATGAAACTTCTACTTGGAAGACTGAGAAAGAGATCAGAGTATAACATGAAAGCACATTCTGACAAGAAAAGTTTGACAGGGAGGTGGATGGACATAACCCAGGACTGTGTCAGATAGAGAGCTTTGGTATTGGTAGCCTTTCTTACCATAATGTCAAGTAATTTTGTGTTAAAATGAAAACTGATAAGTACTAACATTATTAAAGAAACTGTACTGAAATAATTACATACTTCTTTCATATCATGAGTATTTATTACACTCTTGGGGCTAGAGGTTTCTCTGGAATCATCTATGCAACTACATGGTTTCATAATAGATAATACCACATTCGGGATGTTTACACATGTTTTCTCATCTAAGTGTAGGAACTGAGATCTGTGAATTAACTGTTGAATTGTAACATTTGGTTAGGTTAGACATGCATTCTTCATAGCCAACCTCAGTGGTTATGTGATCTGAGATGCATGATGTGTTCAAACACTATGATCAGGGGTTTCAATCTCACTGGAAGCATGGATGCATGTGTTTCTTCATGTTTATAATGTCCTCTGTAGGTAGAGGCCTTGAAACAGGCCAGCAGTCTGTTCAAGGAGTTCTACACACACTTTCAGAAATTAATTAAGAATTGGGACAGACTTGAGGGCCTAATCTGTAAAGCTGGCCTCTCTTCAATAAGCTTATTAAACAAATCTGACAATAATGTGACACTTCGATTACCTGATATGTATATACCTTCCATATGATATGAAAGTTAGTAAACTGCAAGAAAGACATATAATTATTCTTACATATCACCAAGTTCAAGTTTTAATAAGGAAAGAGTCTGGTACCACACATCTTTCATATTATGTCCATAGCTCTGTATGATGAGAAGTCTTTAAACAGTACATGGCTCCCTAGTGACAAAACAGCAGTAGAAACATACCACTTTATATAAATGTATATTATCTGGTATCCTAGAAATCTCAGGAAAATGGGAAGAAAGGGAACGTATGAGACAGACTTTATATTATAGAAGATGACCATGAAGAAACTAGGATTTTAATATCATGTTAGGAGGTTGAGTGAGATAGGCATATCTAGTTTACTGTACTTACAGAATTATTAGCAAGCACTATCATAACCCAGCCCAATAACATTGGAGCAGCCATGAGGAGAATCAAGAGTCGCCGGCCCAGCAGGTTGGCCAGGTACCCAGCTGGGATGGCCCCAACCAGTGAACCCAGTGGGGAGAGGGAACCGATCCAGGACCCTTCATCATATGTGATGCCTGGGATGGTGATATTGTCACTTAGGTTGTAGGGCTGCTCAAGGTGGGGGATACCTGCTGCAGTCCATCCGTCCACAGCACCGGCACAGGCAGCAGACATTGTCGCTACACATCCATCACATTCACGAACTCAGCAAGCAATTCAGGGACAGTATGATGTATACATGATTATGCAAATCTTCTGTTATAACAAAAGTTGTAACCCAAAAATATTTATTAAGGTACATACCTACCTAACTAACGAAAACCAACTATACAGAACAGAATATTTGTCAAGAAACTGGTAGTTATATATCTAATCAACAAATTTCCATCCTTTTATGGAACCAAAATGTTTGTTACTGTGTACACAAGAGCTCACCATTGGACCCTATATTGAGCTTGATAATTCCAGTCCATGTTCTGCTTTTTCAGTGTTCCATGAAGGCATAAGTAGGCATTATTTCCTATGCAAGGACATCCATAAGATAAGAAAATATACATTTAATTTTTCTTTTGATGGTGGTAAGTGATGTGCTACAGGAGCTACAATGTATGTTTAATTTATTATGGAAATAAACTGTAAATACATGTACAAACTCTGTGTGACATACTGCTAACATGTTAACAATTACAAAGCTGCTGATGGTGTGAAACTCTGAGGTTATATCCGGGGGGCGGGGGGGTAGTTGAGTAGTTGGAATTTGTACTATTAGAAATGAAGCACTAAATAGCAGATTTATAATTACCCATTTATAGCCCTTGGTTAGCTTCACCATATAATTGGATGTGTGCATGTGTGTGTGTAAGGAATAAGTGACATGTTCTCAGCTTACTGCTAATTTTTTAAGTTTACTGAGATAAACTGTTTATAATTTAGCGCATTTAGTAAAACATCTGCAACAACAAATAAGATACTTTACCAAGAACTGCAGCCAAGTGCTGAGGCCATATCTTCTTTCTTTTCTCAGGCTCTCCTGTTGGATCCACCACACAAATTTCCAATTGTTCCCTTGACATACTTTCAGGTCTCAGATATTGTAGTACTGAATGATAGCAACTCTTTAGCCTTAACATAAGAAAATAAGCAATTTCAGAACATTTGCTTTGTACTAATTCTTTCTATTGAATGACTATTGATCCAGCCATTCAATCACTCATCCATCCAATCCTCCAATCTCCCTCCTATCCAGTCAAACTTCCTTTCTTCCAGTCACTCACCCACCCTTTCACATATCCATCCATCCACCCACCCACCAATTTGTCCATTCATTATTGGATACATGACAACTCCAGTACCAATGCAGTGAGAACTGACTCTGTTCTTTCTTAAGGGCAATGTCAGAATGACTTGTGACATAAGAACAGGGTAGAATGGCAAACAGCTGTGGCTCATTACAACTATGACATGCTCTTCCATCAGAACTGTCTGCTTAGACAAGGACTGAAGCCAGGCCTTTCAAACGTGGGGTGATGCAGTAAACATTTATACACACAGCGCATACAGACACGGCACCTATCACAGCAACAGTGACCGAAGATGATCTTACTCGAGAAAATAGCAGTAGCTCAGTAAGTTAAGGGACCTGCTGCTACAGAATTCTGAGATTCATTACCATGCACACAAGATCCCACGCCACTGGACCCCACCATGGGTCAAGTGAATCCAGTCCACCCTCACCAAGAACAATTTTGATATCCTCCCTTCTAGAATTCTCTCTCCCAGTTGCCCCCCCTCTCTCGATCTGAGGTTATTGCATCAAAAGTGTACGTTCTGGCCAAGCCACCCTTCTTGAGTTATTCATCCTAATAATATTTGGTGAAGAGTGTACGTAAATTATGGATCTCTTCATTATGTAATTATCTCCAGCCTGCCATTACTTAGTCCCACCTGTAGTTGCTGATTCGGATTGGCTCAACCCATCACTATTAAGTAACGTATCAGGGCACTTACATTTTTTGCTTACTTTCTTTAGTTTAAAAAAATTAAAGGAGGTTTATGATATCACCTTGCTGTCTGTATATATAGTATAGAATAGCAGTAAATTGGGCCACACTGTAGAGCAGCTGGTGAGGCACTATCCTACAAGCCGAAAGGCCGCGGGTTCAAGTCCTGATGAGGTGGATTTTTCAATTGATCTAATACTTCCAGCCGCGCTATGGCCCTGTAGTCGACTCAGCCCCTAAGGCTGACAACCTTACAACCATTTGTGAGCCGATTGTCTAGAGAAAATATGGGAGCTTCAACGTCTCACAACCCCATGGGTCTTCACAGCCTGTTATAGGGACAGCTTTACCCCCCCCCCCGGAATGCTCCGGTACTTATTTCTGTTAGAGACTGAGTCGACCCCAGGGCCACACTGAGGCTGGAAGGATTAGGTAAATTGAAACAATTCAATGACCTCATCGGGAATCGAAGCCGCGACCTTCCGACATGTAGCATAGTACACCAACCGCGTTCCCCCTTTCCTGTAATTTATACAAGAACAAAATGAAAAGAAAAATACTGCGAATGTCTATGCCTGAGTCACTGGGCCTATTTTATAATAGTTACTGAACTAGTAGGTTGGTATGCATAAACTGAGTATGAAGATCATACTACTGAAGGTCTCTGTGACATCGTCTTCTTTTAATTGATATACTATACAATAACAAAATGGCTTCCAAAATACTAAAAGACTTCTGTTTCAATTACGTTCAACTTACTTACCATGTGACCACAAATGTGATAGTTACTGTTTGACAGAATACAGGCATACCTACAACTACCTACAACTTTCTTCTTAGGACGTTAAGTATATTATACAGTACCACTTTGACATATGCTATACTCCGTCTATTATGGGAGCGAGGGTGCGTTTTCGACAGTGACGTAGTCCGTTACGTCATCATTAGGAAGTTAAGTACTAGATTCTGCTTTCAACATTCTTCCGGTATTCATGCGCCGGCGAGACATTCAAACGTACTTACCCAGGAGGCCGTGCCATAGCTCAAGCGGTTAGTCACTGGCTTCCCACCGCGGCGGCCCGGGTTCGATCCCGGGTCTGGTCAAGTGGGATTTGTAGTGGACAAAGTGGCGCTGGGGGCAGGTTTTCTCATAGCACTTCAGTTTCCCCTGTCAATCTTCATTCCACCAATTGCTCCACAATTACCCTCACCTATTATCTGGGGCTGGCCGCAGTACAAGGGATTTAGTCCCACCCCACTAGCAATAAAAAAGGTTTCATATCATAGCCTGCCTATACAAGACACGAATGAACTTCACACAGTTAAATTCTTGTAATTACCTGACACAATACGAGTATGTAAATTAGTAAAGCATGTGAGAGTTCAGATTTTCGAAACTCTATGTGTGCTCACAGTGCTACCTGAAACGTATTCGTTTATTTCCAATAGAAGTGCTAGGAATTGACACATCCCTTCTCTTTAATTCTTTGATTACAACAATATGTGACGTGTGCCAGCCAATCGCATGCTAGAAACAATTCGCTGCCTAGCAACGGCTGAGTAGACAGCCGGTGCTAGGCAAAGCCTGCACCAATACGGATAGTGACATATTTTCTATAGGTCCGAGTTGTTCAGACGATTCAATAAGCCACCTACTGAATAAGTCGTTTCACAGTCGGTTCTTTCGTCTGAACAACTCGGACATATAGAAAACATGTCACTCGTGACCCTGCGAGTCGTAGGAGGCGACGAAAAGGGAAGTCTCAAATGTGAGTCAGTAAAATATGGTCTCGAGTCCCAAGGGACTCAAACCCGAGAAAGCACTGGCAAGGGCCAGCAGCACATACAAAAGGCAGACCCGTCCTCTCGTCAGAGAGGGCGCCCCACAAAAACAAGACTGTAACTGTTAAAGGTAATAAAAATCTGGTCATGAGCCCCAGATGAGGCTCGACACCAAGACATACTGACTGACTAACCGTCAGTCGCAATGTGAATTTGATTTGGACTTATTCAAACACCCCCGTGTGTAGGCGGGGTCGAATACCTCCACCGTGACACTGCGAGTTGTAGGAGGCCACGAAAAGGGAAGTCTCAAATGTGAAACGGTAAAATATGGTCGCAAGTCCCAAGGGACTAGGACCCGAGAAACACTGCCCTGGCAAGGGCCAGCAGCATATACAAAAGACAGACCCATCCTCTCGTCAGAGAGGGCGATCCACAGAAACAAGACCGTAACTGTCGAGGAGTAATAAATATCTGGTCATGAGTACCAGGAGGGTGCGATACCAAGACTTACTGACTGACTGATTGTCAGTCGCAATATGACTTGACTTGTCTTGACTTGAGATCCATTACTCCCCGTGCGGAGGCGAATAGCTCCACCGTGACCCTGCGAGTCGTAGGAGGCGACGAAAAGGGAAGTCTCAAATGTGAGACAGTAAAATATGGTCGCAAGTCCCAAGGGACTCCGGCCCGAGAAAGACCGCTCTGGCAAGGGCCTGCAGCGTATGCAAAAGACAGACCCGTCCTCTCGTCAGAGAGGACGCCCCACAAAAATAAAACCGTAACTGCCAAACGGTAATAATTAATATCTGGTCAAGAGCCCCAGATGGGGCTCGACACCAAGACTTACTGACTGACTGACAGTCAGTCGCAATGTGACTTTGACTTGACTTATTCAACATTTTGTGTTATAGTTAAGTTGAATTCTAGTTACGGCGTTGAGTAATAAAGTGACAACGCAAGAATACGCCTCGAGGTCTTATTTCACAACAAGAAGATTTTACCCCACTACTGCCTTGAAATTGTGGTAGATGTTTTCGAATTGGTCTGTAAAGTCAACTCTGGCGTTTTATATGGGTCAAGTACAGGGGTTAACAGTTACATCTGAATTCAGGTCGAAAATCAGGTCGGGAGGAAACTACTATGTTAAGCAACTGGAATCCAACTCGCGGAAACGGGTCACTCGTAATTTCACGAAATGAGAACTAAAAATATTGATATTTTCAAACGCCGGTGCATTGAAAAAAGTGGTGCAAAGCAGTAGTGCCAAGTTTCTCATTGGCATTCTTCCATCCACAGGACTATAACCAGAAGCCGTAAATATATCGAATGATATACTCATTTTCTTTGTATTAATATTAACAACGTTTATTTAAACTCAAGCAGTTAATTTATTGCACATATATGGAATACAGCCCAGACAAGATAGCGAGCATTTCAACTGATGATCATGCAACGAGAGTAGAACGTTATATTCAAATTAACTACACACATTTGCATGCATACTCTTTGTTAATTTTCATTCTTGTATGGGTTTAGTGGCCACTTACTTCTATACAACTCAATTTCTTACCCATCTTGTGGCAGAAATGAATTCTCCCAAAATAACAACAAATCGGTCCACTGATGAAAATGCTATTAGTATTGTGATTTACCGGAAGTCGTAAAAGCTGTGATATCCGGCACCAAATGATTCGAAAAGCTCTGTTACCCGGAAATTGACTAATTCTGAATAGTTTGATTTAAATTGTGAAATATCGGTGTCTCAAATAATTTTTAGATTATATATACATGCTACTATTTTGTCCAGAACCTTTTGTCTTCTCGTCTTCTGTCCAAAAACACAAAAATTATAATTTTGCCTGTGGTTCTGTATGGGTGTGAAACTTGGTCTCTGACATTAAGGGAGGAACATAGACTGAGGGTGTTTGAGAACAGGGTGCTGAGGAGAATATTTGGACCGAAGAGAGACGAAGTGACAGGAGGTTGGAGAAAGCAGCATAATGAGGAGCTTTATAACTTGTACTCGTCTCCAAGTATAATTAGAATGATCAAGTCAAGGAGGATGAGGTGGGCAGGACATGTAGCATGAATGCAAATAGGATATTGGTGGGAAAGCCAGAAAGAAAGAGACCACTAGGAAGACCAAGAAGTAGGTCGGTGAACAATATAAAATGGATCTTAGAGATGGGATCGTATGGATTGGATTGATGTGGCTTAGGATAGAGACCAATGGAGGGCTTTCGTGAGCACTATAATGAACATTCGGCTTTCATAAAATGCGGGAAATTCTTGAGTAGCTGCAGAATTGGCGGCTCCTCAAGAAGGGCTCAGCTCCATTAGTAAGTAAGTAAGTACGGCAGTGAAAATAGGGTAGGATATCAAGTGTCAAATCAAATGGTTTGTTCTGTCCACTGTAGCACACTACGATACACATCAGGTATAACGTTCCAGTAGCAGGAAAACTGCGACATCGGGCAAACCCTCTGGTCCCGTAGGTGCAGCATGTCACAACTTGTAGTGTGTTTAATTAAGTAATGAGCATATTGAAAAAGCAAGATAAACTTTGAATAAGTTCGTGTGGTTTTTATGATACATTGTAGGTTATACAATTTTTGCAGCACGAGCCGGTTTTGAAAAAAACAAAACTATAGCTTTATTTGAGCTTTAGATAAAATACTGTTGAGTGTTGCCTATGTAACGCGACAAACAACTTCAAGCAGGATTTGGCGAATGTTTATTGGGCAGTCGCTTTTACACTTACTCAATTCGCAGTGTTCCAAATATTGCCACACAATGGCCTCTAGACGCTTCTTCGTCACTATCACAATTCTCGCTGCTCTCGGTCAAGTGTTCCCAGCGACTGCTAGATTTCAACTAACTCGTCTCATGCCCAAAGAAAACACCTATATTGTTGGAACATGTTTTCCGACCTATTACATAGCAATGGTTGGGGCAAAGGCCGCGCCATAGCTCAAGCGGTTAGTCGCTGGCTTCCCACCGCGGTGGCCCGGATTAGATCCCGGGTCTGGTCAAATGGGATTTATGGTGGACAAAGTGGCGCTGGGGCAGGTTTTCTCCGACTACTTCGGTGTCCCCTGCCAATCTTCATTCCACCAATTGCTCCACAATCACCCTCACCTATCATCTGGGGCTGGTACAATAGGCCAGAAGTGGCCGCAGTACAAGGGACTTAGTCCCACCCCACTAGGAATAAAAAAATGTCGCGGCACGTACTCCATAGAAAACGTCGAACTCCCATTGTTGCCTTGCGTGTATTCGGTCGCGACGTGTTTCGCGGTCAGTTATGTAGAGGCGCTGTGTCCATCCACGTTACATTACCTTTATAATGAACAGATGAATTTAGATCTCCAAACATTAATCAGAACCGGTTCGCTAATTCTGGAGATCATATACAGGTATACGAATAGAGGGAAGGACACAATACTCCTGGGCTTCGTGTACCTTTAGCAATGAACTCATATAAAGTAATTCGTTAGAATACTCTTTATAACAATTTTCTAATGTTAGTACTGATATTTATTGTAGATTTAAAACACAACACTTAATTATACAAAAATTAAAAATTGCTGAAATCATTTGGAGAACCAGGCAGAATATTAAGTTTTTTAATTGTGGTTACTAACCACTGATCATAGTCGTACACTATTAGTTTCATATCGGAGATCATGTGCCTTGCTTCGTTATGTGTAAAGTCAGCGCATGACGTATTCGATTGTTCTCTAACCTACGTCTTACGTACTTATCACAGATATTCATATTATTCGTTACCTGTTTATGAGAGCCCGACGGTTAGTTACCGTGTTCGTATTACTCCAATGCTGAACACAATTCTGAGCCAAATGAATTAATTCAGTACTCTCAGGTCCAATTTATTTAAGGTTTAATTTTACTACTGTTCTGCCATCTATGCCTGATTATTACAAATAGTCTCCTTTCTTTAGTCTTTCCAACTACAATTATGATTCTCCCCCACGTGTCACTCATGTTCCATCCTCTTATTCCCCCCCGCTCCTTATTTGATCATGCTAACAATGTCTGGTGAAGTGTACAAATTATGAAACTCCTCATTATGTCATTTTCTCAATTTTCCTGTTAACCTCTCTTGGG